AAACATCACATTTCATCATCATGACAGGCGCAGGTGAAAGGTTGTACTCCACACAGTCACCAATGCATCAGTGTGTATGTGTGCGGTTGTCTGACTCACGCCTTTGAGCCCGGTTTTCTGAGCTGGTCGTGCGCGTTTTCGACTCGTTTTCCCGACTCGATGGTCGCCCAGAGACAAGCGAGTAGAACACCAGAGAGTTCTCAGCGTGTTCTCAGTGCGTTCTAGTCAGTGCTAAGCCAATGTTGTTGCAGTTATTTGATGCAGGGTCAGGAGTTCTCTGACCGGAGGTGGGCCTGGTTCCGAATGTGTTGCATCAAGACACGAAGGTGCAAAACTTCGACAAAAACCTCTCAGCCTCACTTCCCAGCTTGTAGTTTCGAAGTCAGGGGCATCCTTCCGTTGTCGAACTCGCGAAACACATCTCAAAGGCGGCGGATCCGGCCGCCAATTTGCGGAGCCCCGGAAGATGTGTTGACGTGGGGTTGTGGATGTGGGGCATGGTGAGGTGTACGGTTTGTTGCTTGTGCTTTTGGTGTCGATGTGGGGCATGGTGAGGTGCACGATTTGTTGCTTGAACTGTCGGGTGTGGATGTGGAGCATCGGTTGGGGGCGTGGGGCATGGTGCTGTGTACGATGGTGCGCGATTTGCTGCTTGCGGTTTGTTGGTTGGGGCATGGTGAAGTGTATGACTTGTTGCTTGCTTTTTGTGGTGTGGATGTGGGGTGGTTATGCTGGGCATGCGTGCGCCAGATTCTAGACATAGACATTCTTTACATATGTAAGCATACAAAATTTAAGATCAATGGTGGGTATGCAAGGTGACCCGCGCGTGCATTTCGGTCCAAGCCATTCTTGCACAGACCATCACAAGCCTGTTGGATCCCCGCACAGGGCTTGTACAGCTTCCACAGAGCGTTTGTAGGATGGAGGGCCAGCAGGCCGAGAAAACGGCAGAGTTTGCGCTGAATTCGTGGTCAGACTTTTTACGCTATGTGATTGAGGCTGACATTCATTTCGTTCGCCCACATTTCTTGTTGCGATTGAACGAGGAGGGCAAAGTTTGGCCGAGAAGACAGGAAGCAGAACTTGTGGACGCGTTGTACAAGCCACGCATAGGACAGCGCTTCCAGTTCATTGCCATCTCACATTGTTGGGAGGCACGCGAACACCCGGACCCACTAGGCTTTCAGGGGCACCAGCTTGCGAACGCAATCCGCTTCGCTACAGCGCAAGGACAAATTCAAGACACAACAGTGTTCTTCATTGACTACATCTCATTGCCACAATTCAAGCGCGCCTCCCAGCACCAGGAGGACTCCTTCCGCCGAAGCATGGCCAACATGCACCTACTCTATGCGAATTCGAGCGCAGACTTTTGTGCGGGTGTTTGGATCGTACCATGTCTCACACCATGGTTCAACCTTTCTTGGTCCCTTCACAGCTGGCTGGGAAAGTCCGTCCCTGTATATAGCGTTCCGGACGATGAGGTGGCAGAAGTGCCACTGGCTATGCTGGTGCCCAATGCCACTCCCTATGCCCGCCGCGGTTGGTGCCGCGCAGAGCTGGAGTGGGCCAGTCCGTACATGCGCGACGCTTGCGCCTTAGCCGGCTCCTCTGGCAGGTGCACACTCGACTGCAGTCTGAGTTTGATTGAAAGATCAGTCAATTGGGCGTTTGGGCTCTACATGTTGTGCTTTCTCATTTTGGTGATTTTAACGTTGTTTTGGGTTTTCACCGATCTGTTGGGGGTCTTCACCGATGTCCTGGGACTTGAGCAGAAAGAAACCTCTGATAAGCAGGATAAGCCGGAAGCGGCCCCTGCGAGCAGCCCGATCGTGGACTACGTGATATCGAGTTTTGTACTTGTTGTTTTCATTGGCTCGTGCTGTCTCCCAGTCCATGAGCTGCGCAAAAAAGGCCACACGGGGCGGCTCCTGGTGCACACCTCTCGCATTCCGCTGACGCCGGAAAACTTCCAGCAGCAGGCGAGCGGGAGGCAACTCATCTTCACCCACAGATCAGACGAGGAAGCAGTGCTGAAATTGCAAGAGGAGGTCTTTCTTCAAAAGTGCGAGGCTGTGAACGACTTTGTGTACAATTTTCTTCCCAGCCAGGCAAGCCTCGAGTTGCCCACGCTGATGACACACTACAGCCACTTGGCCCGATTTGAATTGCGAAGGGCCAGCTTGGCCGAGACTGTCAGCGCTAATCTGGTCAGCTCTTTGGTGGAGAAGCCGACGATGCGAGAGCTGTGTCTCTGTACAGTTCGCATGAAGCTGCAAGCTGGGTTCATCGAAATTCTCAGCGAGAACCTGAAAGGGTACTATGGATCGAGTCGGCTTGAGAAACTGTGTTTGGAAGATTGCGGCATGGGCAATGCCGAGGCCCAAGTACTTGCAGAGTCCCTGGGAGTGAATGGGACCTTGCGAGAGCTGAGTCTCGGCAAGGGCTGTATCGGGGAAATAGGAGCTATGGCTCTCGCTGCGACGGGCGCGCAGAACCGCACCCTCCAGCGCTTGGATCTTCACTTCAACTGCATCTCGTGTCGGGGTCTTGAAGCTTTGGATGCTGCGTGGCCTTCGCTTAAACTCCTGGACCTCTCCTACAACGAGGGCAGCAGCGGAGATCATAAATACAAGCCCAGCCCATGTGAGGGGCGGAAGGTGGAGTCTTCAGGCACTACAGGGCTCCACGTGAGAGCTTGTTGGATGCTGGTTCAATGGATGCCCTTGCGTTGTGCCTTCTATATTTCTGAGCGATGTCGCCCTGTCACCCCGTTCGAGCATAATCACGGCTTCCCGGCAACACAAGCGACCTACTTGTGCCGCGTCCTGTGCCAGCTGCTTGTCATGTCTTGGCAGCCACTAAAAGCATCGTGTGCCTGTATCTGGACAGCCTTCCGGCGAACTTGTGCCAGCTACGACCGCCTGGGTGACCCACTGAGCCAGGAACCTGTCCAGGGCTTCTGACTCGTCAAATTCATGGAATTGAGACGCCCTAAACCCTATACCCTAAACCCTGCACCTGAAAGCTTGGAAATTTGTTAGATTTTGTACAGTCGCTTCGTGCAACAACATGCGGATCGATGTTCTCAGGGGCAAAAGACTCACTGAGAGGCGCGGCAGATGCAGAATGAAAAGGATGTCGATGTTTTCATTTGGAGGCAGAGGGTGTGGACTCCAACTTCTGGTATGACTTTTCGGCCCTCCTCCCCGAGGTGTTGAAATATGCACAACATACAGTAAAAGCTCGTTTGGTCACACTGGCCAGGTGTTATGGTCGACAGGTCGCCTAGTGTGCATGGTGGTCATGATGGCGGGTGTCTCGGTCGTGGGTCGCCCAGTGTAGACATGAGTTAATCCATACACGACATACAGTTGTAAAGACTTTTGCCAAGTCCATGGACATCCATGAACCTGGACTCCAGTCCAAAACTAGCAAAAGAGGGGAGGAGCGGAGGGGCGAGGGGAGGGGCGACGGGAGGGGCGAGGGGAGGGGCGAGGGGAGGGTCGAGGGGAGGGTCGAGGGGGGGAGGCGAGGGAAGGCGCAGGGGAGGGGCGACGGGAGGGGCGAGGGCAGGGGCGAGGGAGGGTCGAGGAGGGGCGAGGGGAGGGCGAGGAGGTTGAGTTGACGGTTGAGCGCGGAACCCTAAAGACGAAACCCTTACCAAGCAAACTTCGTAGTTTACCATGCTGAGTTTTTGAGGTTTCGAAACCGCTCATGTCCACCCCCTTGTTTTTACTGGGGGCAATAATGCTCGTCTGAAGGGATTTGTCCTCATCCTGATTCGGGGACTCAGGCCCCATGGCGCTTCTTTTCTGGATGCAGTTGTTTTTTGAGCTGTGCGCGTTGTGTTGTTGCTAGGTTTCAACCTTGCTGGAGTGCATGCAACTTTGTTGCGCAGCCATGGGTTTTGCCAGTAGCGTGCTCATGGCAATGGAATGTTGGTGTAAAGGACTAATCATGGCAGATTTTTTGAAGGACAGAAAGAGGGACACAAGTGCAGGAAGATCAGCTATGTATGGGAGCCGAAAGGGTAGTGGTTTTCACTGTGCAAACATGGAATGCCATGAAGGTTGCGCATGTTGCCATTGGATGTGTTCGGACCGCATGGTGTGAAGAGTTTTTTGTGTGCTGACTTTCACATGTGAAATACTACGTCCCATCCAAATTCGAGGCATGCCCGAGAATTGCTTGAAGAGCATCGCCAAGATTGTCCGCACCCAAGTGGTTCCATTGTGAAAAAGTTTCTGTATCTGTCAAAACCGTTGCAACAGGGCACCATCCGAAAAGTATGCTGTTGGATGTGTTGAAGACCCAACAACTTGTGGAGAGTGGTCAAGGTTCAGCTGTGTGTCAGTCCAAGGCGTGGAGCATCAACTTTACTTTGAGGCCGCATGTCGCTGCAACAAGTAGTTTTTGTAAAGGTTGCGAGAGTGCATTGTCTTGTTTTTGACTTGGGCATGCTTGGTTCCATGCCTTGCAGTGCGGTGTTGCAGGCAGCTCTGGCGGATGCTCGCCAAAAAGAGTGCCGGACCGAATCGGTTTTCCCAAGATGGCCACATCAGCATACGAATGTTTTTTTCTTTTTCTTTGAGCCATAGGTTGGTGCGACTCGAGAAGGGTTGGCAGCGCGAGGCAGGATGCATCCGCAGTCCTGCTGCAATGCATGTCGTATAGTCCTCCCTATACAAAAGAATCAAGTGTTTAAGTTCGAATGGTGCTTCGCTATTGACAGCATGAGCAACAATTGGCTTCATGTGCGGTTTTGTCGCATGCACGCTGCTTCTCCGCACACGGAGCGACCGTCTGGCAGATAACTAGTGTCAAGCCAGCTTGAGGTGATTTGCGGACACGGGGTTTCGGCATTTAATGTAGGAGCTGTACGATACTACGTGGCGAAACCCGTCGTTCATACTTAACGCTTAAACATACAGCAGACGACATGATACAGTCACAACTCGAAGCAGCACATCACAAGAAGTTTGTTGAGTCCAACCATGGTCACTCGGCTTCCTGGCATTGTTCTGTTTGCTGTGCCGGTCGCCGTCAACGCTGACTGCATCGCAGGCCTGTTTCGATTGAGTGAGGTTCAAGGGCATATTACCTAAGAAGTTTTCGTGCTTGAAAATTGAATGCAGGTCAGAAAGGAGGAAGCTGCTTAACCGTCCTTCGCGATGCGGCGACCCCCGTTTGCAATTCATTCAACACTTTCGAGTTCGCAGCCTTCTTTAACAGGAAACTCCAGTGCTAGGCTTTTGGCATCATCGTCCTACGTCCAGCAGGTTCTAGCAGTCAAGGATCTCATGAGGCGCCCACACGCACACGCGCCCAAACATACCAACCTCGCCTGCTTTCCAAGGACAGACGAGAGACTCTTTGGAAAGCCCGGCCAAGACAACTTCTGCAGCTTTGCATCTGCGCCATGCCAGTGTCGTTTTCATGAGCTCTTTAGTCTTACTGGGATCTTTGTAGTTCCGTTGCCTGAGAATTGGGTTCGGTTGCTGTCCGAACTTCTGAATCTTCACTCGTATGGAGCCCTGCAACATCGCAATGTTTCGGACACGAGATCACGTCCCAGCTGCCGACTGTCCCTTGCCCAGGCGTGCTTCGGACTGGCCTGCCCGCTGACGCCAGGAGCTCCCGAGTTCCCCCTGTTGCCTTTGCCCTCTGAGGAGGTGCTCTTCGCCACTCGTCACATTTTCATCACGTTCGTTCGCGCAACACAAGCATGCACAGACAGTGGCAAGCTTTGTTTGGTGCGTTTTTTCGGTGTTCCGGACAAGTTGCAGCGACAAAAATGCGCCACGACTTCCACATGCTTCGATGAGGTCGGCGAGGGCTCCTCGAGTTGCTCGATGATTCTGGACCCCAGCTGTGCCGCCGAATATCAGCGGGCTGAGCTGGACTGTGCCCGAGATCCTCACAGCAGGACGGTGTGAAGGTGACAAAGCCATGTGGCCGTTGAGCACTTTAAGCTTTCGACCTCTGAGTGCAGCATATTGCAGAGCTTCCAGGAGCATCTGGGAAGGTACCCGCCAGGGCCTCTGCCCAAGATGCCAGAAGTTCCTCGAACGGCTTGAGTTTTTTAGCAGGTTAAACTTTCTTGCGCGGTTTGGGTCCAGCAAGTCGGCGTAGGGTTTGAGTCTTTGTCTCGGAATGTCTCGGAGTTTGGACCAAGGCTTGTGAAGGCCTACCGGTACCTCGTCCATCACTGCGGACTCCACGGACCTGGCCGGGACTTCTCCGTTGAAGCGCTCAAGCGGCATTTCTTGGACAGGCCGTATGGGGATTATCTGCCTGAAGTGGCGGACATTTTTGGGTGGTAGCTAGTGGAGCGGTTCGTCGATTCTTGGAGCTATCCTGCTTTGTCGACAGGTCGGCATCAGATGCTGTGTGGCGATCCGACTTGACAGCAGAACTTTGACGCAAAACATGCCGAGACTTGCACTACTAATACAATAAAAAGTATTAAGCAATTTGAATCATATTCAGAATATTAATAATATAGGCATCGAAGGGCTGCAGATCCAAGTTCAGCGCTGCGAGCAGCCAGCGTAGCCCGATCTCGACCCCGACAGTTCTCAACTATTGTCAGCTCATGACTGACTCCTTAGAACTACTTTGGCACTGCGTTCTGGATGCCTGAGTGCAGAAATTTCCTAGCGTGTGCGTTCAAAACTTACAATCCGGGCTCTCAAGCCTTAGAGGGTTGTGTTTAAGCAGCATGTCCGAACTTCACGATTTCTTCGTGAATTTACCCAGAACCGCTAGGTCATGCAGCTGTTGAATGTTGACAGGTAACTGCCAGGCGCTTTGTCGCTGAGCGGCGCGATATGGGCCAGCATTTTCGGCGACAGCAACAGGCCCTTGCGGATTCGTCAAAGTAGGTCTTGGTTGCTTTGACTGTTGTGCCCTTCTGGAACCGACTCTTCGTTCACTCCAATGGCCCAAGACGTACATGGCTGAGGGGAAGCCCTCAGCCAACAGATGCATTTGCAGGAGCTGCTGAAACAAATCCGCAAGTCCTGCAAAGAACTGCAGGCCTCCGTTGGGCATTCGGGGTTGCTTCATTCGGGGTTGCTTCTGTGGGGCTTGGCTTGAGTCTGGGTTTAGGCCTTGTTTGTTACTGGATGCTTCATGCCCATGCTGTTCTTTTCAGAAGGTTTGCCGTAGCATCGTGCCAATGAAGGACGAGAAGCGCCACCGTCGGCAGCAGCTGAGGCAAAGACAGGCGGGACGTGGAAGTTGAGATCATCTTGAGCTTCAGCTCTGCTATGCTTTATCCTGAGGTTCTTCTCATGGCGGCCATCTGACCGAGTTGAAAAGCTACTGCTGTTTCTCATTCTTTTGAGTGCTCCGAGGCGCACGCTCCTGGCAAGGCTCGGCAGACATCGAGGGCTTCAGGTGTTTTAGGTAGGTTTCGAGCTGTGCTCCAACCATATATGGGGGTTTACGCAAAGAGGGGACCCCAATGAGGGAGACCCGCATATTTGCCTTCAGTTTCAACGCTGCGCGAAGCAACCTGAAGTGCTCGATGCCGCCCTGCAATCACTTGATCCATCGGGGATGCAGGAAGACACGCAGGAGGGCCAGCAGGAGGCACGTGGAGATCCCCGGATTCGGCCGGGACAGTTCACCAGGTTAATCCAGGTTAGAACTGTTGATGCTGAAAACCAGGAACTAAAATCTACCCACTTCGATCATCCCCGTCGCTCCTTCACCCCCCGCAACCCAAAAGCCCTAAGCTTTGAACCGCTCGTACACATTTGCGCACATTCGATCACCACCAGCACGGTACAGCTGCAAGCTGGAGAGTACTCTTTGTCCTCCAGAGAGGCAAGCAGACCCAGACTTAGTAACGAGAAAAGCGAAAGTGAAAGTGATCAGCGCGCCATCACCTCCAAAGTTGGTTCACAGTCAGCATGCTCTCGCGCAAATCCACCAGCTGCCTGACTGGGGCTCTTATTCAAGTGCATTTCGGTGCAGTTGTCTGTCTGATGTCCAGGCTGCCATTGCTAGACAATTATTGCCTGCTTGCCGTGTTGGCTGCTAACCTTGTCAGGATCCATCCAATCTATCCTTGTTGGGTACGCAAGACTGTCATGTGTGTACAAAACAGGACTTTCAACACCAGTCAATGATTGAATGCGAGCTTTCAGCATCTATATCATCTCGTTTGCCATTCCTGACGTCATCATCGTCTCCTACGTGAGCCTGCTTCAGTGTGTTGGCAAGAGCAGTGGGGCAACGTTGCAGTGAAGCAGTGTGATGCAAGAGATGCCTGGGTTGCAACCACTGGCGATGTATTAGGGGAGAGGGGGTTTGGCCTGCCACATGCCAGGAGTGTTGAGATTTCTGATTTTTACAGGTCTTCTTTGGCTGCTGACAGCTGGTTTGCTAGTGGGGATTGAGCCCTTGGGGATCTTGTCATGCCGTAGGGTTCCAGCAATGTGCTCAACTGCATGACGTGCGCGCGAATGCTGCCTTTGGCTTCCAGGCGGCAGAAGAGGAGGACATCACAGTGGACGACGTCGTGGAGGTGGCGATAAAGACTTCTTATCAGCCGGCCTTCAGATGTTTCAGATGCCTTTTTGGGATGGAACATTGGAATGCGCCCTCAGACTTTTTTTTTTGTAACTTGTCCTCCGGAAGCACCGAAGATGTCTGAAATCCGTCGCGGCGGCTCGCGTCATGGGGGAAAGTCATGTACTGGGAGCTATCCCGAGGGTGCCGCAGCGTAGCTTCGATAAAGGTCAACGAACTCCGCTTCCTTTTTGGGGCTCCAACTGGCAGGTGGAGATGGCGTCCCACACCAAGATGGGGCCTCGGCTGGAGCAAAAAGCCGAAAGAGTCGAAGAGTGAATGTGATGGCCAGCAGCTAGCGATCTGCAAGATGCAGTCTTTGTGGAGTTTAGGCGTCTGTTTCCAGATCCATGGTCTCTGCCCTATGGCCCACGGCCGAGATCGCTGAGGCTGATCCGCAGCTTCTTCTCCATGTCAACCTTTCCGAAGGAGACCCTGTCCGAGCCTCATCGACGGGTTGAGGGTCTTGGAGGGGCCTGAGAAGCCTCGTTCCCACTTGCAACCGTCAGGCCTGCATCGAAAGCCGTCGAGCAAGAGAAGCCCGAGCTTCCATCGGCTCCACCCAGGCCGAAGCCATGTGGAGTAGCGGAGGGGCCGGACTTGCAACATTCATGGTGCTGCGTTATGAGGCTGGATTTGTGTGTTGCAGTTGCTCAATGCTGCTCGATGTTGCTCAATGTTGCTCGATGTTGATGACTGTTTGCCCAATGTTGCTGAATGTTGCCCAATGTTGCTCAATGTTGCTCTGAGGTTGATAGTGCCGCCTGGGGTTCCACGCCACTCCGCCGAGTCCTTGAACTTGCGACACAAGGCACCTTTGGAGTCTTTGGAGTCCCTCCAAACGACCGCGGAGAGTGTGTGTGGGGGCGAAGGCGAAGGTGGCCTTGCAAGGTAGACAAATGTGGTCACCGTCCTGCAGCCAGGGACTTGCGGACTTGCCAACTCTTGCTGTCAAGGCCGACCTGGCCAAATGTCCTTTAAATCCAGCCCCCTTCACTGATGCACTGCTTCCGGAAGCAGTGCAAAGTCCTCTGCCACGCGAGCAGCGACCTGCACGGAGGCGCGGAAGCTTGCTCTGGCCCAGCGATATGTCGAGGCCTTGCTGCCTAGCAGTTCCCGGCCTGCTCTACATGATTCTTGCATGTTTCATGTGCTTTTTTATGTTTCTTCATCAGGTTTCTATGGTACAACCGGTGTGAGTGACCTTGGCGGGTTGGTGGTTGGGGATTCATCGACACGTCATTGCGAAGAAGCCATGCAATGCGTACTTCAGTATTGACTTTTTACTGACTCTTTTTCCGAACACTGTAGAGCTTCGGTACGCAACCCTCCAAGAGGCAACAGCCACGTTTAGGGTCCTCCTTGCCTCGTCATTTCCATACATGGTTCCGTGTCTCTTATCAGGTGCCAACCCCCCACCCTTGAGCCCAAACGTTCACGCAACCCCTGAACCTTATACTTACACTCTTTGTGGGGTTCCATCCAGGGCGCAGCAGTTAGGTCTTGTTGTGTCGAGCCTGGGAAGGCGGCGGAGCTGCAGAAGCAGGCTGAGCGGTTAGAGGCCACAGTATGCCATTCATTGATTCTGAGTTACGCGGTTCGGTTCTGGGCAAGTGAGTACCTTCAACCATGCTCCAAAGACAAGTATTCCAACAAACACAAGCAACCTCAGCGCTGCATCTTGGCGTATTCCCGCCCAACCGCTTGCAGAGATGCTGCCTGTAAGGCAGTCGAGGCCTTATCTGTGGCTTGCTTCTTGAGCCGTTAACCTGCCCTTTTGCCCCTTAAGCAGGCTTTGCTGGAACCGCCTTTCGTCACCCATACTCCCAATCTCTTTATATGACCCCCAATTCTGCCTTCTATTTTTCGCCCCCTTTTGCAGTTTCGACACGCAACTGCAAGCTTTCTAAAGCGCAGCATACGAAACCGAAGTACAGTGAAAGGTTCTATTGCCGCAGGACTTACCTCTGCGTGCCTACCTTCAAGACTCCGTCGGAGCTGTCGGTCACGTTCAGCTTTTCCTCCCTGCCAGAAATGTGCCGCCGGACGAGCAATGACGGCCCTAGACCAAGGTGAATGCGGCGCCAACAGACATGCTTGGACTCTTTGTTTGTTGAGATCTCCGATGTTCTTCGATGGTCGGAGTGTCACGTTTGTAAATGTGCTTGCAAATGCGCGAGCGTCGTGGGACGTCTTTGTGGCGCGCTGAATAAACAAGCGTGCCTGCCCAATGAGGAATTATGTGTAGGAGTGCTGCTGTCTGCTCGACGCACCTGTGCTTGTAGGCGCCAAACGGTTCGAAAGGTGCACCATCATTGAGATCCCTCCTGTTTCGCCTTGGAGGGTTCGTTTGCAGAAGCAGGGCGCTGGAGTCGGAGAGTTGCGAAGCGTCTCAGCCAACATCCTGCCACACGGGCTTTTTTGCTGAATCAACAAACGTGCTTAACCCTCATGATCTTTGAGCAACTATGGGATGGAGATGTTCAATGATGTCGTGGCTTCGTTTAGTTTCCTACCATCGCGAGTATCATCCATGTGCACTGCTCTGCTGCGCTTTAGATGCAGCTGCAACGGAGCGCCCACACTCACCTCTGCACGATGGCCATCCTGAGTTTCCGAACGGACCCAGTTGCGAATGAGATGTTTTGCAGCATTGTTGATTCTCTTCCAGGGGCTCTTGTGTGTTTTGGTTAAGGCAGTCGTAAGATTCATCGAAACTTGACGTCGGCTCACGTGGAGAGCTTTTGCTGAGGTAGCTTGGCGAAACGCATGTTGAGCACACACATGTTGTCGCCTCTGTGATTTCTGCATGTAATGCGCTTTTTCACGTCGGTGAGTCTT